AATCACTCGCGTAGTAATGATACTGACAATCTCAAACAATCAATGGAGAAATTTTGAAATGTCTTATTTAACTGGCTCTAAGACATAGTACAAATATTGTGATGGTATCTGTTACAATTAAGTTCATTGGAAATTATTAGTCTTAGGCCATTAAATCCTTTCAGAACGAAATGTGTGTGAATAATTTGCACGTGACGATATCTTAACAAGTGTGGTATAATTAATGAAACTTATCTGTCATTTATTTCCACTTATTGGATTAATGATAGTAATTTTTTGTTCGTCCAATAAACACAATGATTACCTTACAACGTTATTACAATGTATATTAAAAAAATACGGAAAATAAAACTTATTGTCACTAAAATAGTAAACTAAAAGTTTTTTTAAAGTTTTTCCAACTATAATTTAAAGTATTAAAAAAATGTGTCTTGTTTCATTTTCATACACTTATTTCACCCACAATATAAATTTGGAAATTGGTTGAGAGAAATCTTTAGTTATATTCGAGTAAAACTATTTTTTGTTTATTCCCATAATTTAATTTTGAACTTTATTACAATAAACAAATACTAAAGTTATAAGATTTACTTTAAAAACTCTTTAATTGTTATAATTATTACAATATAGTTTTAGTAAAATCATCAACGACTTATGTACTAACTATGTAAACTTTTAAAAGAAAAAAATATTTTTCTGTATTAACCTTTATAACTTTTGTTTTATTTAGTAATTTAAAATTATCAGGTCAATATTACTTTAGTATTACCAACTAAAACAACTTGTACATTTAAACCATATTAATATATGTATAATATTATTACTATAACTATGCCAGTACAAAATCTCCATTAATATTTGAATTTTATACAAAAACATAATACCATAGGCAATCAGTCAGTTCAACTTATCCCATTTTAGGTACCACCGCTATAGTTGGAAACTAATGGCCAAGAAGTTAAACGCAAAGCCTCTGGAGACGTTAAAATGATAATCACAAAGATGTTTAAATAAAACGTATTACGATTATGGTAATTTCGTCAATTATCAAAATGATCGTCATAATAATACCCCCATTTGAGAGTACTTCAACATTAGACTACGAAAAATATATTTAAAATTTCTCGATGCATATAATTACATTCAGATCAAAAACTCAATAAAAATCGCCCCAAACGAGTTTAGTATTATTAATACCTAAAATAAAATTACAAGTTCTCAAAAGTTTTGCACTTTTTAACATTAAAGGATACCATTTTCTTTAATATTATCTTCTGATTCCTTACGAACATAAATTGTTTTACCTGCTTGTTTAGTGTACACTTTTTACTAAGAAAGATAAAAGTCGAGATAATTTAATAACTTTATATTATTTTTATCAAACATAATAACTAAATTATTAAACAACATAAGGCTGATTGTACAGTTCGATATACGATGAAAAGGTTAGTATAAATCATATTTTAATGNAAATTGTTTTACTTGCTTTTTTAGTGTACACTTTTTACTAAGAAAGATAAAAGTCGAGATAATTTAATAACTTTATATTATTTTTATCAAACACAATAACTAAATTATTAAACAACATAAGGCTGATTGTACAGTTCGATATACGATGAAAAGGTTAGTATAAATCATATTTTAATGATAAAGTTCGGTTTCTGATTTCTCCATTAACAAACTTTAATTAAGTTATACTCAGTCTAAAATCCATGACGGTTTAGCCTATAATTTTGATATTTAATGTTTACTAACACTTGCAATATAAAGTTAACCCATCCAAAAGTAATAATAACCGTAACTTTACTTAGTTACTAAATAGGATAATTTACTTAGTTATTAGCATTCAAATAGTTGTTTCATAAATTTAGTTGACTATTATTTATTTTATAAAAATTTATTTATCAGTTATTCATATTTGGTTTTGACAATCAATAGATTAATTAAATGTTGTTTGTACATTATTTAAGCTATTCTTCATAAAAATTATTTTTTCGGGTAAAATTAGTGAAAAATATACACTGTAAGAAATTATTCGGAAATTCTCATCCTTTAGAATGATATTTTTAGTACACGCGTTCATTTTACACACTAGTAGTATAATTTTGACATACAATATCGACAATTCATACACAATTATGACATTTTTACTACTATTATCAATATTTTCTGTTACAGCGTGTGTATAAAAAAACGTACAACACATATGTGTAAAAACTCGGATATTTTATTAAAAATATAATAAAATAAAAAAATAAAATTTGTATTGCAATTCTATTTGAAATCGTTTAAACTTAAAAAACCGTTTTTAATTTTATACATTTTCAGCTTACCTTTCAAAATTGTATTTAATTATTTTATTAATAATGCCAAATAAAAACTTGATTCGTCGTATTTCAAATATATATTTGGACCTACAGTTTTGATGTAAATGTTATATAAAAAACTAATGTTATGATACAGTGAATTTGTTTTTTCAATTTATATTCAATGGTTATGGATTTGTTCATAATAAACATGTACTATTAAACTACTTACAAGTCGTAACTCGACTACATATATAATAGTGTAAATACAAAGTTAGGCATGGAAAACTTTTCAATTCTATGCTCTGATATATGCATCGCGACGGAACTTCTTAGCTAAAGTTTTTAAATGAAAAGTTCAAGTTTAAATCCAGTGTAATTTTTCTTGGTGTGTTTGCCACAAAATCTATGGTGGTATTGAGAAAACAAAAGTATTTACTTTTACTGTCTACCTTATTCACTAGTCTTAAGGAGGTACATCTAAATTTAACAGCTATTCATTCAATTCTCATAAATGCAGAGCATTTCGCTAGTATCATTTAGGGGAAAATTTTACTCTATAAAAGTGCAACTAAACATCATCATAAGCTCTACTAAAACTGTCGATTATAGTAGTAAATTCATTTTAAAAGGCATGTTATATATGGATAAAAATTCTATCAAATCCTATTTTTATGTGTTTTTTTTTTTACTGAATATTGAGTATAATTAAAAACTTAATAGAACATTACTTAGAGTAATTCATATAAATTGAACAAAAAAATTACTGTTTTGTCCGAATTTTTAAAATATATTTTTAATTCAAGATAAATAATATTTACTAAGTTAAACAAAACTCCAAACAGGTAAATTAAATGCCCATCAAAATACAACTTTAAAAAAGTTGTCGATTTAATTACTAACTATTTTTGTAAAAAAAGAAAGTAATCCAACTTAAATATTTTAACATTTAACTTATCTTGTATTGAAATAATAATAAAAAATCAATTTATTATGTAAATACACTATAAAATAACATAATTACATGGAACAAGCAGAACTAGGATTCAAAATCTAAATTATCAGATTTAAAATGGAAACACAAATAAAAAATAAAAAAAATTACTATAAAATTAATAGTAGTCCAAACTAAAATTTTAGTGCCAATATTTCCAGTTATTCAATAATTTAAGGGTTTGAAAAATTTAACTATATTAATCAATTGCTTATTTTTCTAATGTTTTTATAATTTTGAAATATACAAAGTATATTAACAATTGTATATAACATCAACATCAACATGACGCAACATCAAAAATTGTAAATAAATATTATTTTTGATAAACTTTTAAAAATGTTTATAAAACTACAACTAGTTAAAAAAATGAACTTTCGAACTAGAATTTTTAGAGATTAAAATTAAATTTAAAATTCTAAAATAATGATTGGCGTGAGCCATTATTTTATTATTAAATATTATGCGTCATGTTATTTCTCCCACCTAAATATTAAAAATAATATATTTTAAAATTATGGTCCAAAAGGTGTTGTTAATCATTCATTTTTTTAAACTAAATGTAATATTAAAACTATAGTGTCAATATTTGACGTTTTTAATAACTTTTATCCAGTAAATATTTTGTGTAATTTTTTTTTAAATAATTTTTTACAGATTAAGATTACATTAAAATCGTATATTTTATTACTTGTTTATAAAAATTATTTTTTTATTTATACAACATTAAAACCTATAGATATTTGAAAATAAAAATTAGTATTTTTACAGATAACGTGTGAAACATAATAAATTAATTATCTTAAATAAGTATTTTAAAATTTAATGTTTAGCAATCCTCTAGATGATATATAGCAGAATACTGTTAGAGCCATAAAAATAATATTGAAAAAACAATTGAATTATACAAAAACTCAAGAAATTAAGGAATGGTTTTTTGTCAAAAATACGATCTGTATTTTAGTTTTATTATTAAAAGATTTTTTGTAATGACTAAGAGTCTTTCATTACATATCAAAGAAATAAGTTCAATTCTTAAAACCGAGTGAGTATGGAATGTTATCAGTTACTGAAAACATACGACTCGTATTAATAATGAGTAAAAAAAAAAATTTCTTATTGTTTATAATTTTCTTTAATCTATTAGAATATTGTATTTTATTTCATAACTATTGTTAGCCATTAAGATATTTATGTTAAAATTATCTGTTACAATAATGTTTTGCTAAAGAAAATAAAAATAAAAAAAACATTTTGTGAAAGTTTTATTCATTAAAAAATACATAATGTATATACAAAATTTAATAATTTTTATTTGTATTAATTAATAATATAATGCTAGCTGTCAATTGTGTATCCAATGGACCAATGGGGCTACCTTTTGTATTGGTCATGTAAAACATCGTTCAATTGCAAAACACACGGGAATCTTAGTTTACTATTAAATAAATGGAAAAACATAACTTTTAAAAATTTATCTTAAAAATAAACCGCTATTAATTGAATTCTAAACCTTAACGCAAATACCATATGATTGAAAAACCAAAACCTCTACCAATATCGAAGTAATAATAAAAAAGACTAAAACCCTACTGTAATCCAAAAAATAATTACGGTTATAGCCAATTAAAAACAATGATTAATATTAAAAAAATTAGCAACTATAACCAGTTTTTAATAAAGCTTTAATTTTTACTTACAGTTCTGTTTGCTAGATTTTTAACTCTGCAATTTAAATATGCAGTCTTTCCCAATGGAGCTGTTACATTTTTTGACGCTGCTTTGTCAAAATAAGGTAAGTCAGGTTTCCCTGAAAATTCTCCTAAAGCATTTTGATGTTTATTCGATTTACTTAGCAAGCATTCAGAAACATCTGAAAAAAAAATATTTAGTTTTATTATTTTATTTCTATGCTTTTCATATTGAATGGTTATGACGTCCAATGTTTGACATCAAAAACAAAAAATTGAAAGAGTAAACAAGTATAAAACTTTTTATTTTTATAAATTCAACCATTTTAAAACGACATAATGTTTGTAATTTTAGCAATGATATAATATCAAAAAAATGTTTTAACATTAAATTTACCAAAAATTGATAAGTTAAATTGTAGTCTATAAGCGTATTTAGGACCGTAAAACTTATGTGAGTTTCAAAATTACTTTTAATGAAAGGTAAGAAAAAAAGTGAATATAAAGTAATTAAAATACTAGTTTAAAAATATTTTTTAAAGAGAAGAGTCTAAACCAATTGATAGATAGATGAATCATTTATTGAGGAATCTGACACTGCCATTTGATGTGTCGTGTTTTTAAGTTGTCATTGAAATATCTTCGAAAAGATAAATGGACAGTTAATAATCATAAAAAATGTAATTTTGTAATCGAGGTAAATTGTCACTCGCGAATTTGCCCCTTAAGTGATAGGTAAAGTATAATTAAGATCTAAGACTTTAAACTTATGCTTAGTATAGTATTAAAACCTAATCTTTAATATAAGTTAACTAAAATAATGTAATTGTAATACTTAATTCTTAAGTATAAACATTTTTTAATGTGATCGATTATCATGTTATTTAGCTTCGATACGAAGCTGAGAAGGTATTAATTTTATCATGATGTGCTTTTTTTTTTTTTGTGTCTGTTACCACTTTTTCTCAGCTTTCATTAGACCGATTTTGAGGAATAATATGTTAAAAGATCACAAATCGTATCTAGTTGAATACATTATCCTTAAAAATTGAAAAAAATTTCCTCATTTATGGGGAATGAGGAAAATTTCTAAAAACAATAATTTTTGAAATCGGTAAATTTCGTCATTTTTTTCTTTAAATTACCATAACTTTTTAAAAAATTAATAAATCAACTTAATTTTTTTTATATTGAAATTTTAGATATTTCCCTTTCATATGACATCATTTTTTTGAAAATCAAACAGTTAACATGCTCACAGGAAGTTGTAGAAAAATTTGTTTACGAAAATTAACTTTTGAAAATGTTCCGGAAATACTGCGTCCTTTAAACATATGTCAAATTAAACCTTACAATAAATATTATAAGTTCAAAAAAATAAAATTTGTCCCAACACCTTTTCTTCTATAGAAAATTGGTCGTCGAATTTAACGAAAAATGTAATTTTTATGTAAAAATCAATGTTTAATATGACATATTTTAATACTTAAAACTACCATAACATTTTGAAAAATTAACAAATTAAAATAATTTTTTTTTATATAGAAACCTTAGATTTTTTCCTTTTATTTGATATAATTTTTTTGAAAATCTGACCCTAAACCTATCTGCAGGAGGAATTCAAAAAAAAATTTTGGCACACAAGTTAAACTTTTTCAATTTAATTTTTGAAAATGTTACGGAAATATTGACACTTTTATTTAATTTTAATTAAAGATTATGTTATTATTTAGTATAAAGTTCATAAGACATAAAAAGTTAAACTTATTTAAATTTTTTTGTTTTTTAAAGTCGAAAAAGTAAACAGTTGCCGAATCGGTAACACTTGTGTCTTCCACGGTTAAGGTGCCAGGTTCGAATCCGCCTGTGGCAATTAATATTTTGAATTTTTAAAGTTAGGAAAAATGTTCAAATCATTTGATTTTTATCTCATTTAGATTCATTAACTTCAATAAATATCAAGGATTCCATCAACTGTGTTTTTTTTTGTGGCTGCGATTTATTTTTCCAACCCTCACTTAACCTACTTATTTCAACTATACGTCAAATTATTACAATTCGTATTTAGTTGAAGATATTACCCTCAAAAATATAAAAAAAATTTCTTAATCAAATAAAAAGTACTTTAAACAGCTTTATCCATACAAACAATTAAAATCATTCATTAATAATATTTTTAAAGTATTTATTATCGAATTAAATTTTATGTGATAAAAGTATTCAATTACAAAAGTAAATAATTTTACTTTGTAATTTATTAATTTTTTAACTGTATTTGTGTGTGCTACTAGTTCTGTAATATTCCAAATATTTTTGTAACATATTCTTATATAAATCATAAATCTAAAAAAAATTTATTTTCTGATAAATTTACTGTAAATAGTAATTATAAAATTTTCTGACTGCATATTAATTTTAAAAATTTCATTTTTTTATATTTAATGATGTCAATTTCAAACATGCAAGTTGAGCTAATAGTTATAGTAATAAATTTATTTTTATTTTTATAAACTTTCACTTTGTAGGACAAAAATAAGTAGGTTAAAAATTATTACTTTTAACATATTAAAAATCAAAATCAATAATAATTTGAAAATAATTAATCATAAAAATTATATAATATATAATTAAAAAATTATATATTATATTTTTAAATCTAAGAATTATTAATCTGGATATAATTCAGGAAATAGAAGTTGATTTTGTAATTATCCACCAATTTCTTAAAATTAAACACTATCTACAGATTTGTATCGATGCGTTTCTTATGATAGTAATTTTAATCAATGTCAAATAAAATCTATACTGTACACAAATATGCCACGTCCCCACTTTATCCGACCCCTCTGTGCTAGGTTGTTTTTTTTTTTAAAAGAGTTTTAAAAATGATAAAATTTGTCAATATACTAATAGTTTCTATTTAATTAACTAAAAAATTAATATTTCAGTCATAATTACAGTGTCTGTTTAGACTGTTACCAGGGTAAGTTAAGACAAAAATTTTATTTATCATCTAATTTTGAAAATGACGAGTTGATAGTAACTTTCAATCCATTATCTTGAAAGTTATTACCATTTTTAATTATAGTATTGCTGGTATGTCAACAAATTTATTATTAGTAATTTCTCAGTTGCTTTCTTTTTCTAATCTGGATCTAATCAGGAAAAAAACGATCAAAAGTTGTTATCGACCCGTTATTTTCTTAACTAGAATAATTTATATTCTGTAAGTAAGTTAAATATGTATATTGACATTCAAAAAAATTAAGTTGACACCCTTAAAAGGAATAAAGGATTTATTTATTATTTTGTTTTTATAATATTTTTTAATAAATATTATGACTGTATAAATGCCATAATTGAAAATTAACCTTTCGTGTTAGTTAAAGTAGCCTAAAATTTATTCTTTGTGAAGTCACATAAGTTTAGCCAACTAATTATAATTTATAAATTCTATACCATGTGGTGTGTCAATTTATTTGCAAAGCATACCATTGTGTTTCATACATTTATGTATTTACTAAAATGATACCTTTACAGTACCTGTAGGCTGTCTTTTCGAAATGCGTTAGTAATTTAATTAATGTAGCTTAAACATATCATTACTATGATAGAATCGCAGTCTATGTGGTAGCTTAAACAATTTAAATGCTATGTTGTTTGTTATATTTGTTACCAACCTGTTTAGCTGTTTTATAAAACATTAACTTACTCAATTTGTGTCAACGTCATATCAAGAACAATGCAAATTATTCTCAAGAGAATTGTTTTCGTTAATATATTTCATCTTGACAAAATTTAAGAGGAATAAACTGTTTTTTAGAATAATTAATTATTGTTTCGTTTATATTTAAAACAAAAGTTTAGATTTACTAAAAATTGGTTTTATCAATATCATTATTGTTATTTTTGTACGGAAGCGAGAATTTATTTATTCATCGATAACAATGGCTTGGTAAAAAGTTTTGTATCCATTGGGTCGTTTTGTAAACTATACTCATATCTTTCGCAGGAGCTTTAGAATAAAAATAGTATAATCGTAGAGTGAGCATGTTGAAGAAGAGAGGTAGTGGTATTTTACATGTTTACCACAATTCTTTGGTGTCCATATCTCTCGTTACTTTTCTCATATCCTTTCAAAGCTGACTAGCATTATATGTGAGAAGTTTTTACTCATTAATTGTTTGAAAAAGAAAAAGAAATAAACACAATATACATGTACATTACTATTTATTATATTAAATTAAGCTTATTTTTTGCTGTTATCATTCCAATAAAAATGAAAAAAAAATGAACTGAAAATTTTATAATAATTTTATGTTCATTAAATAACATTGATAAAATTATATTAAACCATGAATCTTATATACACAGAAAACTTAACATTATCGAGTTAATGGGCTAAAATTAAGTTCAAATTTTTAACTTAACAAAGATGTTTAAATTTTACATTAACTTAATCTTTTATTTGTTCATCTAATGAAAAATTAACATTTATTCAACTACATATTACTGTAGTTTTTTGAACTTGAAATTTTTTCTCTTTATAAAAATAAAAAATTCTCAATAGTTTCTGAAAAAAATGAGTGTCTTACAAGATTTCGATCATTCTATATATAGGTATACCATCAAGTTTTGACATTGTTCGCGCCAAGCGTGGGAATTTATTGATAATGTTTGGCGGTATGGCTGTGGTCAGGTGATGGTGTTCGTGCGCCATCAGCTGTTACGATGCCTTATCAACGACCGTTGTCGGCTAGCCGTTGAGTTAGAAGTGTCATGTTTTTTTGTTTTTTGTATATAAATGTTAAGAGCAAGATATAGCATAAAGGAAACATATATTTTTTCATTATGATTTAAATATTAAAAACTGTGTTAACATGCAAGTGTTAAATAGTGTTTTATAAGTTTTTCAATCAATATTATCATTGTATCATTATCAATATATAATTATAGTATAATACATGCAGGTATTATATTATTGTATATTTATTTTATATATTCACACGGGTGACAGTTCTTGTAATTTATTATCTATTAATTTGCATAATTAAATTGTTATTATTCCATTTATTTACAAAAATCAAATGTATTATAGTTAACCTTTGTATTTAATTAAAATTCGGTTAACTAAACAGACTGCATTTGTGTTAATGATTATTTATTCATCTATTGTATTAAT